TCTGTATATTCCCCCGATACTCTGTATATTCCCCCGATACTCTGTATATTCCCCCGATACTCTGTATTTCTCCTTCATTGCTCTGCATACTTCTGTGCCAGGCAGCGGGGAGATTTTTCCTTACTTCCTGTCCCACCAGACAGGAAGTGAGGTGGAATCGCCTTGATGGGGTCGCAGTGGCTCTTTGAAGCTGCAGTTTTGGTGACACCCTCATTTCAAAAAGAAACCTTTTCCATGGAAATAATTCCTTGTAAACAATGGTTGTCTGTGTCGCGGCCCCGCGGACTGCCCGGCGTTGTCACAAGGTAATCATTATCTCCTCCCCCCAGCGTTGTGATGACTTGGGCGCCGCCACGTGTAATCATTACATCGCCCTCACTCATAAATACAATGTTCAACCATGAAAGGATCGCCCGGCACATTCCACGCCGGGGTCACCGGAGTCACATCCAGGTGGAGGGATATTGGGAGATTTCACTGGACAAAAATATTTACAATGTAACAATGTGAAATCTAAACAATGGACGGGTGACGGAAGGACATTGAGGCCCGGCGCAGACCTAGGCGACACACACCTCTCCCCCCCCTCCCCCCCCAGAGTCGCTTAGGTCTGCACCGATCGCGCTGTGGGTGCCGTTATGCTCGAATGGCACCCCAGTCCCGCCGGGTGGATCACACGGTTTCCCGCCACGATTCCGCCCGTGCTTCTAAACACGATCACGGCTTAAATCGCCGCGCTTCGTGTATCGCAGCAAAGGTACGACTCCTGACCACGCTGCAATCTGTGTCGAAATGTGCACGATTGCCGTGCGGTGGGGTGTCACCTAGGTGTGCACCGGCCCACACACCTACGAGATTTATCGCGCAGATTTAGCCGCGCCATGTCGCGCAAAACAGAGATTTGCCTTCCAGTCACCTTTGCCATTTGTCGCGCGGTAGATATCGGCTGTCGCGCAGAAAGGTGCGGGAGCTATTCTGGGGGCGGTGGTCGCGCGGTTCGGGTCCCGTAGACATCTCTAGACGTTTGCGCAAAATCGCACAAACTAAAACAGTTCACTATGTCGATCGCCTTGGTGTGAGTCTAGCCTGGAGGATTGCGGTGGATCTGAGCTTCATATGTTCTGAAGAAATAGCAGTTTGTTTCACCATGTCCTTTCCAGACCGATTGCCAAATGGGAGGGGTCTAATTCCCGAATGGGAGGCCTGAATGGGAGGAGTCTGATCCATGAACAGGAGGGGTCTGATTTCTGAATGGGAGGGGTCTGATTCTTGAATGGGAGGAGTCTGATCCATGAACAGGAGGGGTCTTATTTCTGAATGGGAGGGGTCTGATCCATGAATAGGAGGGTCTGATTTCTAAATGGGAAGGGTCTGTTTCCTGAATGGGAGGGATCTGATTCCTAAATGGGAGGGGTCGGATTCCTAAATGGGAAGGATCTGATTCCTAAATGGGAGGGGTCTGATTCCTAAATGGGAGGGGTCTAATTCCTGAACGGGAAGGATCTGATTCCTGAATGGGTGGGGTCTGATTCCTAAATGGGAGGGGTCTGATTTCTAAATGGGAAGGGTCTGACCCATGAATAGGAGGGTCTGATTCCTGAATGGGAGGGGTCTGATACCTGAATGTGAGGGGGTCTGATTCTCGAATGGGAGGGGTCTGGTACCTGAATAGGAGGGGTCTAATTCCTGAATGGGAAGGGTCTGATTCTTCAATGGGAGGGGGTCTGGTACTTGAATGGGAGGTGCCTGATTCATGAATGGGAGGAGCCTGATCCATGAATGGGAGGGGGTCTGGGTTTATTTATTACCACCTGGTGCACTTTCTGTGTTCTAATGAGGAAAGACGCACTACCGGCATTCCTTCAGAAGTATTTAACCCTTAGGGAGGATCTCACCCCAAATATAACTTTCCTATTCCAGGGAATCCCTAAAATGTTACTTCTGTCATCAATTGTTCATTTTACTAAATATTGTCATCAATAATCCACCCAGAAGAAGGGAAACAGGTAGGACATTGTGATAGACTCTATGGGGGTCTATATATACATCTTCTGCCCAGCCATGTGCTTAGTTAGCCAGCTGCAATTACAGTACAAACTCAGCACAGGGATGGGGGGAGCTCCTCATAATGGGCACAGCGGGTGTACAGACCCGGGAACTCAGCACAGGGATGGTGGGAGCTCCTCATAATGGGCACCGCAGGTGTACAGACCCAGGAACTCAGCACAGGGATGGTGGGAGCTCCTCATAATGGGCACCGCAGGTGTACAGACCCAGGAACTCAGCACAGGGATGGTGGGAGCTCCTCATAATGGGCACCGCAGGTGTACAGACCCAGGAACTCAGCACAGGGATGGTGGGAGCTCCTCATAATGGGCACCGCAGGTGTACAGACCCAGGAACTCAGCACAGGGATGGTGGGAGCTCCTCATAATGGGCACCGCAGGTGTACAGACCCAGGAACTCAGCACAGGGATATTGGGGACCCCTCATAATGGGCACAGCGGGTGTACAGACCCGGGAACTCAGCACAGGGATGGTGGGGGCCCCTCATAATGGGCACAGCGGGTGTACAGACCCGGGAACTCAGCACAGGGATGGTGGGAGCTCCTCATAATGGGCACAGCGGGTGTACAGACCCGGGCCCCGAGCGGTGTGATTCAGCCCAGTCGGGGGCCGCGGATATTTTGATGGAATAATAAATCTTAGGGCTTATGGTACTTAGGAGGCCCCGGTCTATGATCCAGGAAAGAATCCCGCAGGCTCTCCGGATAATCCCGATCTCTCCCGGTCTCCCTGGCAGAGGACGGACTTTCCCACACTGAACAAAGAGAGATGACATTGGTTGCGGTGAATGGACAGGGACAGCTTGGCTCGGCACCAGCCATGGTGAATGTCTCATCCCGCTGCCCTCCTTTCATGGGGACACGTGAATTGGTTACCAACGACAATGTGACGTCTCCCCGTTACGCTCGGCGTTCATGAAACGCTCAACGAAGGGAAAGTAGAGGGCCAGTTAAAATTTTAGATACAGGGAGGGAAGTTAGACGACCCCCCCCCCAAGCCGTTTGTGCCACAATAGAGTGGGGACGGGGGTGGGAGGGGAGTCAACCCCTTTAATTGTCACTATGATGGGAAGGCCAACATTTTTTAGTTGTCACAAGAACAGGAAGCGAAAGGAATCTCCCAATGGGGACACCTGTTCTGATGACGGCTTTCCCCCGCAGTTCTTGTGGATGGAATTTAAAGGGAACAGACAGGGATTTCCTCTCGCTTTCGAGATGGGATCACGTGGACAGGAGGTGAAGGGAAAGCTTCCAATGGGGACACCTTTTCTAGTGACAAGCGGGGTGCTGTGGGCATTCCGATATTTGCATAACTCCTCCCAAGAGCCAACCCACTGCTCTCCAACCCCTCCCCAAATCCTAAACACCGCTCTGACAAGAGACGCTTTAATGACTAATAAGGAAAAGCGATGATTTGCTAATCGATCATTTGTCACAATATAAAAAAAATATAACACATTGTAAGTGACAGTTTGCAAAAAAAAGATACAAATACGAGAGACATAAAAGGGAAAAAGTATAAATATACCAAAAACAAAAACAAAAACAGAAGTAAATCAGGTTTTTGCCGAAATCGCTTATTTGAACGTTTTTTTGAATTTGTTGGGACGGATTCTGCGACAAAATCAATTGTTTGCACGATGACCCCCCCCCTAATGACGAGGAAGGAACACCCCCATCATCTGCAAATCCAATGCTGTCCATACAAAACACAGTCAGCAAAGATTGATTATAGATTATAGATTGGATCGCTTCAAAGGATCTTGTTTGTTGGAA